ACCGATCAGTCTGTGCAGAGCATGAAGTCAAACAAATGGTAACATGAGGGCTATACAGGATGACTGATGACTAAACAAGACACACCTGCGAACAATGAATGAACCAATGACAACATAACTCATGGGAAGCACATGTCAAGATCACATGAAGGGATGAGGGAATCACATGACACACAGGAACTACAAAATAAAAGACATAACCCTGATGAAAAGAAAAATATGAACACAAGCATACATTTTTATTGAGGATGTGATGAGAGTCTCTGGATCAAGTTCACAGTAGGTGGCGTTAATGGGCAAAATTGGTGTGAACTGCCAAAAAAACGGGAAGAAGAAAAGAAAAATATGCTAAGTCTTGCAGCCAGACTTATAGAGGGTATGCGCGTGACATCACTGCCGGCCGGAGTGCCTGCAGTTCCTCACAGTGAGTGGCAAAAAGACTGAGCGGCTGTATTTGTTTTCAGCGTGAATGCTGCGAAAAACAAACAAAACACATATAAAGTGGGAAAGAGCTTTGTGATTGACTGTACAACTATTTGACAAAAAATCGGAGGTATATACAGACTGCTATAGAAAGAGGAGCAAATGGATCACTGCAATTCACAGAAACAACTGGACTCCAGTCAGCCAAAGGTGGATTTGCAGTTATCATTTTGAGTCAATATGCTGAATTTAGCTGTAAAACCATACACATATATTTTGTATTGTTATATATATATTAACAACTCATCAATTAGTGCATATTCTGCATTATTGGATGTTTTCTAATAAACACTGACCAAAAAAAAAAAAAAACTAAAGTTTTAGGGCTGGACGATATGATGATATATATGCTATATATAACACTGATATAAGATTTAGACCTACCTATACTGTATTTATATAAAGCGTTCACAGGCAAATTTGCTTTATGTTTAGGTCTATTTTGCTTTTATTTCCCTGGTGTCGAAATCAGGCAAACATAAATGTCAGACAACACGATTCCTGGCTGCATGATCACTGGATCTTTAGGAAGTTGTAAGGAACACTATATTGAGTCCAACATTTAGTTTAAATTGATAAAATTGTTCATTTTAGTCGCATTTTCGCAGTTTCCCCTATTAAATCCAGTCACGCAGCAGATCTTTTGCCACTCGGTCAGGCTGAGGGGGGTTGTTCCGGCGGGAAAGTGACTTCAATGCATTCCCTTCAGGCCACATCAATTGAAACAACTAATTTTGTACAAAGTGTATTTTAGTTGTAATTAAATTTAAGTAAAGCATAACTTTAAGTATATTTAGTGTACTTTTATGTGTGATAAATTGAAACAATTTCAAGTATACTTTATAGGGACTAATTACATGCTTGATCAGTGATAGTAAAGTGTAGGCTACTTTATTTGTATTACAAGTAATTACAAATTCATTACGAGTGTCTTCGAAACATACAAGCAATATACCATAAGTGTATTATATTTGAGTAAGACATATGGTAATACCTTTGGCTTATTCCAAATATTAATAGCAAATGCACATTAATAAACAAATATTACTTAGCTATACTTTGTACAATATACTATTGTATACTTGCATTTTGAAAGCTTACTTTCAGTGCATTGTTGACTGTTTAGAGCACACAGTTATAAATATACCTAAAATATATATTTTAAGTAAAGTGCCAATAAATACACTTTAAAAGAAAAATTATACTAAAGTACAATTACTTTAAAAGTTGTATTGTGAAAATGGGTAATAGTATGATGCTAATATACTTTTAATATTTGTAAAGAGAGTACACTTTTTTGTTAGTATATTTGCAATGTACTTTTGAAAAGGGAACATATTTCAAATACAATAAAGTATACTTTTTTCTCACTAGGGAAACCATGAACAAAACCAACAACAGATGACATACATTTGTTAACACATTATTTAACATGAACTAACAGTGAAAAATACTTCATAATATATACATAATATACTAACTAAAAATACTATCTGTGCATGCTTTTTAAATACAATAAAAAGCAAGCAAAAATCTGATTTACTGATAGACAAATACCATTTACTTATAGATTTTTAAAACTAATTATTTTATAAATATATTTTAATGTTGAATCTGTTGGATCTGAGCAAACATGAACTTAGTAGTGAACTTGTATTTTAATCAACTAATGTTAAAAATATGAATACATGTAGTTGTAACTATAAAAAGTATTGCTCATTGTTAGTTAATGAATAAACTAAAATCAACTAATATGAAGTTATTGTAAAGTGTTACCAATCTTTTTTTCAAATTAATAAAATAAATTGTTTTATAATAAATAGTTTATAATAAATACACAGATTCATATTTCTTGCAAATAAAATAAGAGTTTGCATTACACACAAAAAAAACAACTATAAAATCACACTCTCGTTTGTTTGAGCTCTTGCTAGTTTTGCTCAAATGTGTACACCTTTTTTAATTTTTTTTCCTGCTACTCCTTATTATGTAAAATTATGCCAATTAATATACGAGAGTGCACCTCTAATCCACCTTGTGAGTCTGACCCAAATTCATAGCTTTCCCTTGTGTGCTTCCTTTCCTTTTTTAAAATATTATTAATACTGACACATCTAAGAGATCCTATGACCCATGTTCTTGTTCTTGGGATGAAAAAGAAAGAGATGGAAATTAATATTTTTTCTGAAACTTTTTCTTTTTTTGGTTTAAACATGGTGTGATGCTCTTTACAGGACTTCTGCTGAACCTCTGAATGAACGGCTATATTTGTTGTTGTGTGAGCAGGAATCACAATGAGCAAACTCAGGCTGATATGTTTAGAGAAGCGTTTAGGGAATCGTGTTGGTTCCTGCTGGAGCGGGCCGGGGCCCCTGAGGTATTACTCCAGGGAGACACCACTGACACCACCGGGAACAAATGGCTGGACAAACATTTTTTGTTGGCTGAAGTGTTGAGATGACTGCATGCGGCTCAAGTTACCCCGGAGTAATGTCTGCCTAATTCAGTCACTCTCCACTTCCTGCTGATCCGTCTCTTCCCTAAACCTCATTCATTTTCCCTGAATGTCCTCCTTTATCTAAGAGAAATGACGCAGCTCGTTTTCATGCTTCAATCCAAAGCAATGTGGGATCAAACATGATGTGCAATAACTGGAACGGCCAAATGGTTTGTGCATACACAACTGCTCAACTCAACCCAACCAAAGTGCAAAATAACAACACAAACATACAACCAATCGCTCACAATTCTCACATTCAATATAAAATAACAGTAAGTCTTTGTCACTTGCCCGTATACGGGCAATCTAAATTTACTTCACTATATTACTATTAAATCCTAATCTAGTCATGACAAACTATATATCGTTGGAAAGGTCTAAGACTCCTAAATAGATATTTTAGCACTGTTTCTTTCTTACAAATTATGAATGAACAGTAATATATGAATTTATGACAAGAGTGCGCCTCAAAAAAATCAACGTCATTACAGGAGTTTCTGACCTTGGTCACAAAAAATCAACGCACACACTTTTAATAATTGTCTCAAGGTTCCATATTTTGAGACAGAAGTGATCTTTGGATAGAAATTTATTAATTTGTTATGGCAGAATGCATACAATTAAATTCAATGGAATTCAATGGCACCCGGTGGCTATTTTTGGTATAACGCCTAAACAAAATCTCATGGGAACTTTAAAATTTGTGATATCAACTACAAATTTGGAACAGAACTTGGTTAGATATATAGCTTTCATTTTATAGTAATTTTATAGTAAAAAATATTTAGTAAAATATTTATTTTATATTAAAAATATATTAATAAATTATATTTGATTTACTGTAAATTATAATAACTTTTTCATACTTTAATTTTTTGAAGTGCTTTCACTTCAGTAAGAATCTGCTGATTGTTTTCTTTAAAACAAGACCAAACTTGGGTATATATTCCAAAGCATTCTTGAATTACAACCATTTAAGTTTGTATAGTGCATTTTAATGTCAATTATCAAAAAGGGGTGTGACAGGTAAAGGGTTAAGTCCTTTTTAGAAATGCTATAATTGAGTACTATAGAAACCAGCCATGGATGTACACTGTAAAATGTGAAAATGTGCAGTTTTTTTTTAAAAGAGCTTTTTTAAAAAAAATAATATAACCCTTAAACAAACCCAAAATACTCTAACCCTTACAATTAGTCATGTTAAAAAACTACTTTTAAAAACAAGTTAATTTAGATGTTAATAATTGACAAAATAGTATGTTCTAAGATTATTTAATAACGTTCCCATTAAGTTATGAAAATGCTATTTCTGAATGCTCTCTGAACATTGAAACATAATTTTTTTTAAATTTTTTATTTTTTTATATTGGTAATAAGAACGTTAAGGGAACAAATTCCATTCCAGCATTCTTCAAACGTTCTTCTGAAACAAGTAACAGTTAAAAATGTTTCAAAACGTTTCAGAAAAAAAAACTCAATGAACAATTTATTAACGTTTTTGTGCTAACGTTTTGATAGAATTATTAAAGACCAGATAGCTTTGAACTTTTTCATTATTAACGTTCCTGGAAGAACGTTTTTTTTCAAAACTTTTGAGAATACAATGTTTTACAGTATGGCATCTGATATGAGAGAGAAAAAAACAGTGTTCAGTTGAAGTGAAAATCCATGGGGGGAAAAGTTCTCATTCTCATAATAGATGATTCTGTACAAATCAACATTTAGTGTAGTCACTAGTAAAATAATTGTAAAGCGATTACACACTTGTATTATGCTTAATAATGGTTCAAAAAGTAATGCTGTAAGTGCAGTAGCCTATAGTGCAGGTTGACATCTCACACAGAACGAACGGAGAATAATATTAAACAAAAGTGTAGAATGAGCAGTGTGTGTGAGAGAGGAAGTCAGGTTTAATGCCACTAGAGCCGTGTGTGTTGGCAGTGTTTGAACAGTTGTTGAGAAGACAGACTTCCGTGAGGTTTATGGCTCCACTCCGTGTGAATGTGAACGCGTTCCAGCGCGTGTTTTCCGGCGCGCCTCTGCAGTGAGACACGCAACCGCGCGCTCGCGTCTCTGTGCTCCCGGACCGAGACTCACTTTACGCAGTCCGAAACCAGAGGAATCTCCTTAAGTTTAGGAAAAAACACACTCTCGCGACTGAGTGTGCTGCAGGTCCCGGCCCGGTTTGCAAACGGGGGTTCTAGTGAAAGCTATCGGGCCAACTCGACGACGCACAGGCGCATGGCTTTGATTTAAAGGGGGATTCGTCTCGCTTTTCCCTAAACCGAGTGTTGCATGGAGCTGGACAACTACCGGCTGCCGAGAGCGACGAAATGCGCCTTTTAAACGAGAACTCGGGGTTCGGGTTTCCTCACCAGTCCGTGTTGGTAGAGGCCTAATGGGTTTACGTGGAGCGCGCGGACCCGAGCTCTACCTGCGCGAGGAGAGTGTTTGTGCGCGGGTGTAGAGGTGACTTACAAACCCTCGCTTTATCAGCCGACAAGGACTGTTCCTCAATCAATCAATCAATCTGTGAGTATTATTCATCTCGCATATTTCCATTTTGCGCTCGGTGTGGGACTGAATGGCGTGGCTTTGATCATTCCCAGCGACTCCATTCGGGTCTTCTGGGACAGCCAGCATCTAAACTGCAGTGTGTCTGTCTGTGTGTGTGTTTGAAACAAACCATCAGCAGAATGAAGGTCTGGATTAATACTTTTTAAAGATTGAATGAAGCATGCAGGGTCAGATAATGACGTGTGTATTGTTTCAGTAGTGTTGATAACACGGCAGTTCATCTTGGAAAGAAAGGTTTTTTTTTCTTTGGAAAAAACAGGATGGGGGCCAGATGTGAGGCTATACATCACGCTTATCTGTCCTAGAATTATCTCTATTGGTGAAATATAGAGAACCGTGCAATAAAACAACATTTTTAGGGCCAAAACACTACGAGAGAAAGTATAGTTATTTCTCAAGCTATATATATATATATATATAGCAACTTGCATAGAATTTAGAAGCTTTAGTAAAATAAAAGGAATACAGTAGTAACTTTTTATTTAATGAGGCTTATAATGGGTAGTTTAGTAACACTTTATAGGTTCATCATTAGTATGAGTAAATGTATTAACTAACAACGACCAATACATTTGTTACAATATTTAATATTAGTTAATAAAAATCCAGCTGTTCATTGTTTGTTCATGTTAGTTTACAGTGCATTAGCTAATGTTAACAAACACAACATTTGATTTTAATAACGTATTAGTAGCCTAAATGTTGAATTAATATTAACTAAGAATAATAAATGCTATGTGAGTATTGTTCATTCTTAGTTCACGTTACCTTATCTTAAAGTGTTACCAGTTGGTTAGACGGGGCTCACCCCAAAAATATCCCATTCTTCATAAAATGGGAAGTGGTTTGCTTCAGTTGATTCCTGAGACGTGTATGCGGCAGCTACATTTAGATCATGTCACTGCACATGCATTATTCAGATATGAGCTGCACACGTCACAATAGCTCATGAACAGCCTGTAGTCTGACATTTGAATAAGAAGTGCCAGTCAAATAAACAGCAAAATGCTTTTTGAATTCGGATTAGAAGCCGTTCACACTTGCATTGGTTTCGACTGAGCACAATGAGCACAAACTATTAAAAAAACAACTCATGTTGTGTAAACGAAGCCCGTCCTCTTTACCCGAGCGCATTTTGTTTGATAATAATTTGGTAACACTTTACAATAAGGTTCATTAGTTTACATTAATGTATTGACGTACATGAACTAACTAATGAGCAATACATATGTTATTTTTTGTTAATGTTAGATAATAGAAATCTAGCTGTTATTGTTTGTAGTGCATTATATGAACTATGAACTAAGATTAATAAATGTTCTCGAAGTATTGTTCATTGTTAGTTCATGTTAACTGATGTATTTAACTAATGAACTGTTAGCAAAAATTCCGTACGTATAATAAAACCTACAAGGACAAATGAAGGCCTCGTGTGAAAAGCCCATAGTTTAGATATTAAATGTATGTATTCTGAGTTATTGTTTAGTGCTGGTTCATTTGAATTCAGAGAGTGAACTCACATGGACAAATGCGCAGTTGAAGGAAGTGCCATCTCTGCTCACATCAACCGCCTGTGATTCCTGCCGCTTCATTTCCAAGCCCGCATTTACATAACAAAGTGTTCGAGTCTCAACTGTGAAAACTTGAGTCTCTCCACCATCCCCCTCCCCAAAGTTGAGCTCGCCTCGCGGTTGTGTTCAGACGTTTACTCCACCAGGACATTCACTCTGCCTCTCTTTTTCATACAGCCTTTTGTTTTCAGATCATAAGATTCAATTAAATTAGTTATTTTCCAATTTTCCCAAAAGAAATAAATCCCCAGTCAGGAGGGCTCAAGAATGTGTAGAGGATCCTGATCTTGATTGTATTAAAGCCGATGTATCATTTCCTCTCCAGCTGAGACGCTTCAGATGCGCACTGTTCAACATGATGGTTTTAAATTGCTTGCAATATGACTGGAATCACTTTGAAAAAGGAAAATACAGTTAAGTTCAAGTCTGTCATATAGGCTACACACAGTTATTTAGATATACAAATAATATTTTTAGTATTAAAATTATAATGAGAACATTATAATTGTGTGTTTGGGCTTTTAATACCGAGACTTTTGTTTGGATTTTGCTTTATTGGCCAATATATCGGTTATCGGCTTTAAAATATAAAGAATTATCGGTTATGGATATTGGCGCATCCCTACTTTATTCCCATGGCTGATTGTACCATAGTTTACACCAGTATTGTCAAGTCAAATTTATGTGTTTTCTCAACACACAATGTTTCAGCTTTACCAAAAATGATGATGTTAATATCTTCATGCCTTAGAGCCGGGCGAGGATACAAGCAATCAAGCTTGAAATCTTAGTTTCTACAGTAAAACAGTGGTAACTTTCTACTGTCCAGTAGAGTTAAAGTATTATAGTTGACTAAACTTCTATTAAAGTCCCCCTGTAGTCTATAATTTTACCCCTTACTCATCTTTGATCAGCAAAATTACACATTTAAATGTTTTTTTTCCTTGAAAAAAAATTCTTCATGCCTTAAAATATCTTGAATGTAACTCGACACCCTCGCCTCATTTAGTATGTGTGGTTCTATGAATATGCAAATGAGCCCCACCTCCACTCACTCAGCTCAGAGATCCACTGGTTGACAATCACTCGTTGATCTGATTGGTTACAAGTTAGTGTGTGACGTCAGAAACATTATATTTTTAAAACAATAATATCTTAGAAAATGATGACTTAGAAATGGTGACTGATTTTCAAAATAAATTACACAGGAGCCGTAATTTATCAACGAATATTTTCATACTATTTCAGACCTTTATTTTGAAATAGCAATGAACATGTAAAATCATGAAAAAAGTAACCTTAGTTTGTTTTCATCCCAAGAGTTCAAAAGATTGCATCCATTCAATTATGTTAGAAAAAAAGTTCTGAAAAAGTTTTAAATATTACGAAAAATATAATAAATTCACCATTTGTGATGTGGCAATAAGCTTTAACGCGCATGCGTGTTCTTTGTATGTGTTTCTTAGAGGTTGAATTCATATCGAAATCTGCCAAACTTCCCATACTACTTCTGAATAGGATGTCTACTTCATAAATTGTATGAAAATTGTAATGGTTCATATCACTCAAAACATATGGAATTGGAGGCTCCCTTATGGACAGTTACTAGAGTCTTGTTGTGCCCTAGTGGAAAAGTTTGGTACTGCGCCCAAACAAAATCTCACAGAAAGCTCATTTTTTGAGACATCAACCTAAAATTTTAAACACAACTTGCAACTTGTTTACATTTTTGGCTTTGATTTTTCTGCAGTTTTAGAGTATCCCAGGTTTTGAAAATATGTATATTTTATATAAAATATGAATGCATTTTTTTTACATTGTAAATTTCCATAAACTCAAACTTCTATAACTTTTTTTCTGTTTCACTTTCTTAATTTATTTCACTTTGACAAAAATCTGCCAAATGTCTCCTTTAAAATGTCTATATTCCAAAGCATTCTTGAATTACAACCATCTAGGTTCGAAATGTGCATTTCCATTTCTATTCAAAAAAGGGGGGGTGACAGTTAAAAGGTTAATATAAATCATTTGTTATTTGTCAAGATTCTAGTTAGTTGGTGCAAGCTTTGGTTAAACTATTCTAAGTGATTCTACAGCGATCTGATATACACTGAAAAAAATAATATGCTTTATCTAATCAATAAAATTGTGGCAACATATTACAAGCAATATTATTAATTAAACTGTACAAATTAGAATTAATTAGAATATTAATTTTATTAACTATTACTCAATTCTAATTTGTTCAATTTAATAAATAATATTGCTTGTAATCTTTTGCCACAATTTTATTGATTAGATAAAGCATATTTATTTTTACAGTGTAGATGGTTTTGATAACACCTGATTGATTCCCTATCAGCACTTCAGCGTAATGATCAGGCTATTGATTCGATGATCATGCACAGACACACTATGCGTTGTGGCACATATTGAATGCAGTTTCACACTAGACTGGTGGTGTGAACCGGTTTGCTTGCTGAAACAATGCTGTTGTCAGTCTTTAGTCTTCAACACATCCCACGTGTGAGTCCCGGCGGCTTGTGGTCCTTCTCCTCATCTCGTCCCCTTACTCGCTTCTTGCCAAGTTCTCCGCACTGCCCTGTCGAATTAAAGCTGAGGAAAGCGTGCATGTATGTGAACATGAAGACAGCATTCAGAGATCTCATATTACAGCACTGGTTTCTTTTACCAGTCTTGACTGACTCCATCCACCAAAAGACTCTGTCTGTCGAAAGCAATAATGGCTCAAGAGCTCGGGGCAAAGGCAGTAGGGGGTTAGGGCTCCGGGTTCATGGAAAAAATGGTATGGATCTGTCTGTGTGTGCAATGAGGAGGGAAGCATCTGGAAAAGTTCAATACTGTTTTGTACAGTGGGAGAATTCAGTTGTTGCTCAGACTACTTCATGCATAAGGAATGTTGATTATTATTTAACGTTTCTCATATTAAACGGCAGAAAGAATGGATGGGTTTTATCTTTAGTATTATGCATTGACACATGTGCGATTTCCTAACTTGCCACTTGCGTATGAGCGTATGTTTGACAACTTTTGATTGTTTAAATTAACGATTTCCCAGAATTGGTCTTTGAATCGGTTTCAGTCCATAAAGTCGATGAATGGAGATTGATCTCTGTAGTTTGCTAATGTTCCCACAGAAGTGATCTGGATTACTCAAGTTCTTGGCATCTCTTATTTCTGCTGTCCTAGAAAGGCTTGTGTCTTTCTTCTGTTACTATTTAGTCTTCATGATGCATGTAAGCAAGCTGACGCTATCATGTGTTGTTACACAAAGATCATTTTAAAATGTGTTTTTATGGTTAGTTACTGTATAACATTGCACAGACACACACACTAAACGCAGTTTTTTGTTGTTTTATATTT